TGACTTACAGATAAGGACATTTCAAATTTATAACACTGAAAATGAAAAGCATTTCTCTTTAATTTTTACTCTTTCATATTAGTTAAGGGAAGCCCAGAGACATTGATGAACACTATATAACATTTCTGCCTCTGCATTCGTCACACATTGTCAATGGAACTGGCTATATATGGGTGTCAACAAACTGCCTAATAAGAACTGTTGAAATACTAAGTCCCCCCCCCAAAAAAAAACCACATAACTTTACTTTCAGGCCCTCAACCCACTCGGACTATCTGATCTCCATCCATCAGCATTGAAGGGAGCCATCAGCTGCTGCTCCTCTCTTAAGGCTCTAATTTACTTGTCATATATTACCAGAAGTACACTGTAAGAAGATGACTAATCACTGACTGCTTCCCCAGCACCATATGTCACTCAGTTTCAAAGGAAAAACTGTCCCAACTAGTTTCTAAGAACAGATTTCCTACCTCCTGCAGTTGGAGTCGAACCTTGGTAACTGCTCGGATCCAGAGCGTTCTGGCTTGGGTGGATGGTGAAGATGCATTTTCCCCAGGAAAACTTTCAACAAAGAAAAGAACACCCCTTAAAAAAGAGTCTAGGCCACAATGTGAAAGTGTTCAAAGCAAGACTGCCAAATATCTAAAATAAAAATGTTTTGTATTCATGCCTATTCTTGTTTAATGATTTAAGCCACAGAAACAACACAGTTCTGAATATTCAATGTAAAAACAATTTCTCCCTAAAATAACAACTTTTAGTTTTTCACTTGCACTTTCCCCCTTTTTCACTTACCCAGTGAGGCACAAGGACAGTCAGGGATCAAGATACCAAAAGCAATAGTAAGGGTCCTGAGTCATAGGGCTGAAACTATGCAGAGAAGTATGGACTGACCCTCTCACCCTCCCTCTCAAAACCACCAGTTTCCCTTCGAGGATTTCTTTGAAGATTCCGGTAAACCCATCCTGATCCACTACATACTAAGGAAGACTTACCAATTCCTATACTACATCAAAAGACTAAGAAAAATATAATCTTGTTCTGCCATGATTTTGTTCTTTGGGCTGCTTAGGAATACCCTCAGTGAAATGAATAATAAATATAACAAGGTATCTTTGAGGCGGAAACACTACCCTATATTGAAATAAGTCATCATCAAGATTTTTAACTAGTTATTGGTAATAATGCTTCTTCTCTCTCCTACTGTTGCCTCCCTCTACTGCCAAGGCGTTAGACAAGTGTCAACCATTTAAATATGTGAAATATATGTTAGGTCCCAATGCCATCTAATTGGGTCAACTATACTGTTACATTGGTGGGCACTTCTAGCCAAGGTAAAGCAGACATGACCCACACTGCTAGGATCTAGGAGGAGCCAACAGAAAACAAATACTCACATTGGGCACTTCTGCTGCTCTACCAAGATCCCTACCCTGACAACACTATCTGCCAAGTCTAAGGTCCTCTAAGACCTCTAGTGGATCATTAATCCAGTTAAATAGTCAGTTCAGAGCTCGGAATCCTGACTGTCTACTAGATGAGCCATTAAAGATGACTTAAAATCAGGAAAAATGAAAGCAAAAATAAGTCTGCACGTTCAATGGTGAAGTAGATACATTCACATGTCTAACTTTTACCATGTAATTAGCATTCACTGCTCCAATATTCCAGTGAGAGGTCTAAATTTGATAAACTAAATCAACACCTAGCCCTTTCTGTCCCCTCTTTCCCACTAGAGAAAACTGACAACATCCAGAGATGTTGTCACAACTGGGGATTGTTATTGACATCTAGTATGTAGAGGCCAGGGATACTACTAAACATCTCTCACTACATTCAATAGTTTCAAATCGTTATTTACCTCAAAATGTCAATAGTGCCAAATCTGAGAAACATTATTCTGTCACAACCTATCTGCTACTGTACTTACCAATTTAGCTCTATAACAACACTTAAGCTCTGTATTAAACATCATTATAAAACAGTCACAAGAAATAGTTTGTATTTTTCTTCTTATGTGTACCAATTGCCAATCACACCACTAGAGGTTGGGTTATATCTGGCTTCTAGACCAAAACTTTAACTCTGTACTAGTTTTCACAGGCGGGTTGGGGGGTGGGGGGTGGGAACCAGTATTCATAAGAAAAGTTAAAATATTAATAGTCTGGAAAGTCAGCTCAAAGCAACTCCTTTGAAATAACTTGCAAGGTTCAAGTCAGTTCTAGTTCTGATGACTAAGAAACTGCCATATGTGGGGTCAACTAGTAAGCCAATAAATGCAGACTGAAGAAGTATATACATGGCAGCTAACTACAAAGAACCCGTTTGTTCTTTCGAGAGTCTCAAAATATCTGGGGAATTGCACCAAAAATCAAAAGAAACAGTTCAAAGCTAAACCTGGGTACCCCAATCACCACCACATCCAGTCATACAGAGACAAATAAAAAAGCACATATATTCAGCAATACCACAGGGCAAATGCTGAAGAAATCATGTGACCTCCCCAGGCAGTTATCACCTACCTCTCCTGGGGGCTCAAGACATGGTCTTTATGTAGCACCAGATCTGGGAGATGATGGGTTGTGGCATTTTCTTTCATCTCCTTGGATTCACATGCTCTCCCCTTCTCTGTTTCACCTGTTACTTCTAGAGTTTTCTCTTGTTCTCCAAAACCTGGCTGGCCATCTCTGGAGATGCTGGCTGAGCTATTGTAGGAATGAATTGAGTCCCTATCCCGATGATCCTCGTCTTGTTCATGGCATTGGTCTAGCTCACTGAGTTGAGAGCTTCCTTGACTCACATTGCAGGAAGAGCCATACCGACTACTGCTGGTGGGGCTGTAAGGATGAAAGACAGATGGTAAATAAATGCAAACTAGGGACTAGGGAGAAAGCATGGGTAAATCCAGGAAAGAAAGATTAAATAAGAATCAAAAACAGGAGGTTCCCAAGAAGAAAGGACCAAATTTCACAATCTAGAGGAACTAATCTATTCAGCAGAAACACAACCAGAAAACTAACAAAAAACATGACATGCTAGGTTCTTCAACAGTACTTCACCTCAACACTGCAAATGATTTTAAAGAATACTTTATCTTAATGTGATATTTATAAGTACAATTGAGAATTAATAAAACAGCTTCTTAATTATACCTAAAATTCTTTGCTTGGTCTTCTAAAAATATGTCCAGTGGCTGTGATTTAAATTTCCTAATTTCCACACAGTGAATGGATGAAAGTACTCTACTCCCTTTTCTTATTCTTTATTAAATTTATGTTCCCTTTTGTTCCTCCACAAGTAGAAATATGAATGCCTGTTCCTTAGGATGAACAAAGAACAGACATGCTCCTTCAATTATTTCTCAGCCATCTGCAGGAAGAGGTCATGGAAGTCATTGGGAGATAAAGACTAGAACAAAAAAGTTCTTTAAAAAAAAGGTCTCATAGACAAGATGTTACAATGATATTCCTGGCAGCACAGGGGGAGGGTCTTAAGGATGAATTTGCCCACCTGTATAGGGCTGTTCTTAGGACATAGATAAGTTTTGGATAAAGTAAGCAAAGTCCAACTCTAAGATCCAGGTCAGAGTCGACCTAGGGCATCTCCACCTGAAGTCAGGCCATTCCAACCGTCTTTCAATCACCTGAATTCCCATGCCCAGAGAGAAATTTGATGCCCTACTCTAAGACAGCAACTTAGCAGAGAAAGTGGAAGTAGACAATGGTCTGAAAAAAAGGATAATATCCAAAGGTTACTGAGTCATAAATTGAATCCAAGGGATTCTATACTATTCAAGACAGCAAAGTAGTGATGAGTTACATGATTTATCCTGGCCTCTTTGAATATCTGGATATTTGCATACCCAGCCCATCTGATCCAAGTCAGAAGCCCTCGTTTTATTTCTGATATCTCAAGAGAGCCTCCAGACAAAAGGACAATGAGTGTCCTTGCCACAGTCAGATCTAAAGGACTTATTTTTAACCTTGGCTACATGAAGAGAAATTTTCCTTCATTATTCCTCTCAATTACCTAATATTTTCAAGTTGCTTTTTGAGCCTTAATTCCATAGCAGCAACACAGGTACCGGTCAGGTTCTGAGTGTATACACACACACACACACAAACACACACACACATACTAAACTCCTGACCAGTCCTTTGGACACATTTTGATCAGAAATCATGGCAACATTCTTAAGCTACATCATACAGTGCTTCTTTTTAAGGGAATAATAGCGCCCTTTGCAAATGGACTCTGAACAATGTTTTAAACTGAAGAATTACAACAAACAATAGCACTGAATTCCTGTAAGACTTAAAGTACTTATCAGATACCAGTCCCATGGTAGTAAAAGATAAAAACTGATATCTAAGAAGAAGCTATACAAATCCACGTAAAGTAGGCTGTAGAGGGCCTCCCTGGTGGTACAAGGGGTTAAGTCTCAGCACTATGAAACTGTCCACAGTCACAGCAACAAAAGATCAATCCCAGGCAGGGAGCTGACCCACATAGCATGGAAGACCTCCCCTGTCTCACCCACTGCTCCCCTCAGCCATGTATTTCAGTGTATCCACCTGTTCTGCTCTCCACTCTGTCTGGTGAATCCTCTTACCCTCCTGCATCTCTGGCCTACATACCAGCTCTTGTATGCATAAATAAATGAATCTTTAAAAAAAATAAAATAGGCTATAGAGTATAGATCTGCATTTTGTATTATACTTAATAGCCTCATTGTCACTGGAGAAAGCATGCCACTTGAAAAAGCAAAGCGAAGTCAGTCTTTCCCCATTAGGCAGATATAAGTGTCTAAGGAAGCACCCTAATCTATCACATGGTTGTAACTAATATATGCCACTCAACTGCATACTACCTCTTGCTGCCCTCTCTTCTCCATTATATAAGAGAGAACAAACCAGAGGAAGTAAATCTTGGAACCTCTTGCCTTCCTTTTATGCAGGAAGCACTTAATTGAATTATATATGACTCTGGAGAGAAGAGAGAAGATGAAAAGACCCAATTGTTATTTCTTAACTTTTTTTTTAAGAGGTATTGTTTATTGTTTCTTTTCATATCTTCGTTATAAGGGTGATCCTAGGTACAGGCAAGAGGTGGAGGGGAAGCGACAGGATTCACCAGAGACAGAGTGGAGAGCAGAACAGGCAGACTGACGGAGTACACTGCTGAGGGGAGCAGCGGGCAAGGTAGGAGAGGTCTGCCACGCCATGTGGATCACCTCTGGGGCTGGGGATAGAATTTGTATTGAAGTGGCTGATTGCAGCACTGTGCTTTAATCCATTGTGCCACCAGGGAGGGGCCTAATTCTTAACTCCTATATAATATGAGGTTCAGGGATTAGAAACACCACAGAAAGGATAAAAAGCAAGCTAAGATTAATCTACCACTAAGTCATCTGCATCATAAATGGCTAATTCCTTAAACTCATTTATGATGCTTGAGCTGAGAACAGGCCTTTTTATGGTCTCTGGTTCCTTGATGTCATGCAGATTAGAGTCCGTGCTAGCAGGTACCACCACCTCTTCTTGTTCTGGCTGGTGAAGGAACTTGGAGACAGTGTAGTGCTCTTCCTTATGACTCCCAGAAGGACAAGTGGGGTCAGAGAGATAGCTTTTGATACCCCAGTGTTCTTCAGATGCTGGGATTTCTGGCTTGTTTATGACTTCTCCAGGCCCTAAGAACCCATGAAGACACACATTTGGCCTGGCTTCCAACTGCTCCAAAGCTCCAGACGGCTGAGTACAGACCTGAGCTGGCTGTGTACTGGCCCTAGACATACGTGAAGACTCCAAAACTTTGTCAGTCTCACTAGAGTTAAGGTTCTGCTCACTGCTGATAACCAAAACTAGAGAGGAGGATTGTGCAGGTATTTGTGCAAGGTTCCCTTTGTATTCTTCTGACCTGGGGAATGAAAGATCCAGCTCCTTTTCAAACCTTGGTTTTGGATCACTTGCTATTTTACTCCCTCTCCCCTCTATAGCTCCCTCAAACAGAGCTGACTTCTTAAAACTGGACATTAAGCCAGCCTCTTTTGCTCTGTTGCCAAGGGAAAAAGATAGGGGAAAGAAAGACTTAAGTGGCTTCCCATAGTCAGTAGCAGAGGGTGGAAAATGGAGCTTTGGCCAACGGTACATGTTTGGCATGTCAAATTGAGGTTTTGACTTTTTTCTTTCCTCAGAAACTATAGGTGGGTCTTTCTGTGAATCAAGATTGCTATGGGCCTCCAGTGTGGTGCCCTGGCTGACACTTGCCCCAGTGAACAGTGTAGTACTGGTTTCTTGTGAACTGGTTACCTGTAGCTCCAAAATGCCTTGGTTTATAAAGGTTGACTACATAGCTGAGATTGCCTCAAGAAGAGGTGGCTGAACTGGAGCAGGAAGCTCTTTAGCTATCCAGGAAGGATATGGATGCAACTGTCCTGGCAATGAAGTATTCTCTGCTTCCACTGATGCCTCTGTGTCTGTGGTCTGCAATGTTCCCATGTCTCCTTCATCACTCAGAGATAGCACTCCTTGCCCAGTATCATCACCTGAGATAGAAGCTGTAGCCCCAATTGTTTCAGAACCTTGGGGTTCTGAAATACTATCAGAAGGAATGTTACTGTTTTCCCTTTCAGTTGTTAATTTAGAATCATCTACTAAGGTCTTTAAGTCTAACTCTGAACTAACCAGAGTCATCCTACAGTCACTGAGAGCAAATTCTGAAGTGAGTGCTGCAAAGGCAGCTTGTCTGAACAAACTTTCTGGAGGTGTTGATCTTATAGAATCTCTGAAACTACCATTTTGAGGCCATGCAGTAGCTGGGATAGATGACTCTTGCTTGTCTTTCTCTAGTTTAGGACTTTTAAAAATTCCAAATAACTCACTACTGAGGGGTTCAGATGGTGCACCAGAAGAAAGAGAGAAAAACAGGTTTTTCTTTGGAGGTTTAAAAGAGGAGAAAAGTCCAGAGAAAGTTTTTGGAGGTTCCATTAAGCACTCAGAGAAAGATTTCACCTTGGTCACAAACCCTGAAAGCATTTCTGCTGAAGAGGTCATAGCTGACTTGTCTTCCTCTTTATCTGTATCTCGATTCTGGTGGTTCTCTGCACACACTAGCTCTACAGAGGCGGCTCTCTCTAAGATCTGTGCTAGGCACTCATCAGGGACCTTTTCAAATGGCAAGTTCAACAGCTCACTAGTAAGTCTTTCATCTTGGGGATGGTTAGGACAAGTATCTAAGATGTTGAGCTTTTCAATCAAATGGCTAATATGTGGGAAAGACTTGGCATGTGAGTCATCCAGGAAGCCTTCCTGGCTGAAAGTCTCATCTCCATAGGTAACTACCCCAAGAGTTTCTACGCCAGTGGGGAATATTTCAGTCTGTGCCTTAAATCCTGATGAATGAAGAAAAAAGTCTTTTTGCAACTGATTCATCTGGAAATCTGCTAGTGATGTCCTTAGTCCATTATTTATGGAGCTCAGTTTTCCCTGACAATCCTCTACTTTGAGCTCATCTGCAAAGGAGGTAGTAACCTCAATGGAAACACAAGGAGCCATTTGCTGTTCTTGAACTGTCTCCTGAACAATGCACCCTCTATTGTCATTGCAAACTTCTCCCATCACCATGTCATTCATGTCTCCAGGAGCATTTGATTTCTTACAAGGTTGGGAGGTTACTGGAAAAGTTAAAAGACTATGTTTTTCCTCAGAAGTCTGCCACTTTTCATCCAAAAAGGACAAGCTGAAAAAACTAGAAGTAGAGCTATTATGAGAAGCATCCTTCTTACTATTTGAGCTAGGAGTGGAAAAAAAGGAAGGAAACGTGAATCGCCCTTCTGCTT